AGCTAACTCAGAGTGATCTCCCAATGATAGCTCATACTCCATGAAGGGGGAGGGTCCCTAACATCCAGTCACAGTGGTTTTCAATCCTATTTGCATATCAGAATCCATGAATTGCTTTGAGAAGTCCCATACTAGTCCAGGCCTTCAAAACCACCGTATCTAGTTGGGTTGTCTGCACAGGACCTGTATACAATGGCGCAAGCTGAACATTCCATCTTGGATGAGGAAGGACTCATGATTTCCCCTTTCCTTGGGGAGCTTACAACAGTCAGTGTCTGATGGGGAAGAGAAGAGTCATTTTCTTCAGTGATACTGAAGCTACTGATGAATTGTACATGCTCTGGTAAATAAACCCACAGCACATGCATGCTCATGTAGGCAAGCCTTATTAAACTCAGTGGGTCAACAAACAGACCAGAGACATGAATGTAAAAAGGGAGCTTATTGGAAAGAAGGAGGGGTTCAGTCAGAGTGGGAGGGGAGTGAGAGAAGATAATGAGAGTGAAAACACCCAATATATACATAATTACATGTACATTCTATGTGTGTGAAGTCACCAAAATAAATTAATAAACAAAACTGCTATCAGATTCTCTGTGGGATGAGCCAGATATTTGTGGGCTGCACAGTGCTGTGGTTCCACTTGGCTTTTAAAGCACACACCAACTCCCTAAACATGTTGTTTAAACTTCAAATCATATTTAGGAGATGGGGGTGGACCAGAGAGTTCGAGTTTCTATCCCCCAGGGGAGGTTGGCTTGCCTGGTCCAGGGACTGTGTTGTTGAGTCTCCAGACCCCAAGTAATTCAAATGTGCAGACCAGGGAGAGAATTAAGCTTTGATGAGTTAAATGGGATTCATGTTGCATGCAATCATCACTCAAATGCCATTGTCCATCAACCATCATAACTCTGCTGCCTGCTCTTTTCTGGAGCAACCAGTGAAATCCAGAGGGCAGCCCAAGGCCTCAGAGAAGGACCAAGTGGAGAAAAGCTAGTACTCACTAAGTACCCCCTGTGGCCCAAGAACTGTGAACTTATACTACTTCAAGGAGTCCATTTTTGTGCATGTAGTACAGATCCTCTGAAACTTCGTCCTACATTTATTAGAGGGAAATTATTCTGTAAACCTTCTTAAAGTGTGATTAGGGAAGATGTTATTTAGGCTCATCGCTTTGGGAATACATTCCATTTGCCAGGAGCTACAGTGGGGACAGAGAGGGAGTCAACATAAAACGTCATGGGCAAGTGGGAATTTATAATGAAGGAGATGGTCTGTGGGCAGAAAGTGACCAAGAGAAGCACCGGGGGAGGAGGCTGACTGAGATGATTGTGTTAGCCAGATGTCTGTTACTATAATGGTACCTGGGGTAATCAACTTATAAAGAGGGAAGGCTTGCCATGGCTCAGAGTTATGGAGGTTTTACCCCATGGGGGCTTTGGGGCCCATGCCAGACAGCCATCATGCCAGGGGACATGTGGTAGAGTAAATCTGCAGCCTTATGGCAGTGAAAAAGAGAAAAGAAGAGGTGAAGGTTCACCTCCTCTTTAAGAAAATGCTCCCCATGGTCCAAGCTTTCCCACTCACCCCCTAATAACCACCCAGGCCTCTGACCCACTCTTAAACATGTGAGTCTTTAGGCGACACTCAGGACCTAAACTGTATCACCACCTAGACAAGGACTGAAATCAGACATCACCCGGAGGTGGTGGAGGATAACTCAGTCAATCGTCAGATCTGAGGATGGGAGAAATCTTGGGAAACCAATTTAGCTAAAACTGAGTGTCATGAGGGGTTATACAGAGGAGCCTATAAGAAACCCGGAGACGCTAAATGTTGGCTAAGCAGAGACTGTCATGTTAACGAAGTGGCAAGGCTTGGATTCCTGCCCAGGTCTTCCCGCCCCTGGATTCTAAGCGCTTTCCAAGCTGCCACACTACCTCCTACCTAGAAGGGCGAAGCTGTCGCTGGTACCCAACAGCTGTCGGGAGAAGAGCAGCTGGGCCCAGGGAGACAACGGAGGCCATTGTAAACAGAGCCGGATGGGCAGAGGGAAGAACAGGTGTGTGGCGTTAGGGCCAAGGAACAGCTTGTGAAAGAATCGACCAGTGACCGTGACTGACAGCAGAGGGGAGATTCAGGGATTTTGCCTTTGGTTTTCATCCAGAAGTTTCCCAGCTCTTGTTTCTTTGGAAACATGGCTCATCCTTAATAATGACACATGATGCGCATGTGCACAAGCTGCTTCTCCAGGAGCTACACCCCAAGGGCCCTCCAGCCAAGCTCTCTATAGTTTACATTGTGCGTCCACGTGTAATCTCGGCATTCGGTGCTATGACCATCACCTGCTTTTCACACGAGACTCGAAAGCCAGAGAAGTCCGGGGACTGTCCCAACTGCCCAGTTAGACCAAGACCAGACCCCAAATGGCCTGCTGACATCCCTGACCTGTCAGGGAGGACTCCGAAGTTTCACACCTGGCCAAACTTTCCGTGATGTCTTCGTAGGCAGAGAAAAGGGAACTCGATGGGAGCTGTCTGCGACCCCTCCAGCCATTGTATATATAATTCTGTTTCTTTCAAGGAGAGAAACAGGATCTTAAGACCACCCAATGAGAGATAGCCAGGCATCAGGCTTCGTACCCAGACTAGACAAAAAAAAAAAAAAAAAAAAAAAAAAAAAGCACAGAGAAGATCCATCAGCCTGGCCTGGGAACTCACAGGCTGAAGACACCACAGGGCTAAGTCATCATTGAGAGAGCACTGCCACCTTGTGGCATTAGCTAGGTACTGCACACCCTCACCTATGAGCTTTGCCAGTTTTCCTCTGTTTGATTGGCTCATAAGACAGGACTGATAGCACAGGCGTTTACTCTGATAGGAGACACGGGAATCAGGCATATGTGCAAGGAGAGTGAGCTTATATTTTAATAAATTGACTAAGAGTCTTTTAAACTGGAAGAACCAGAAAAAACCTCTAGTGTTCATGGCAACAACAATGTATAAGAGAGCTGAGAGTGCAGCTCTATTGGTAGAGTCCTTACCTAGGAGGCATGAATCCCTGGGTTTGATTCCCAGCACTGCATAAACTGGGTGTGGTGGTAGGAGGATCAAAAGTTCAAGGTCATCCTTAACTGCAATGAGTGTTCAAGACCTGGGCTACATGAGACCTTGTCTCGTGTGTGTGTGTGTGTGTGTGTGTGTGTGTGTGTGTGTGTGTGTGTGTAAAACTTTGGCCAACTTTCTTGCTACTAAATTATAAGTAAATACATAAGTGAAAAAAATCCAGTATCTCTTTTACCTTTAAGAAGAAATGTGAATGCATGTAATTGATGTTGTTTTTGCTAAGCATTTGCATGCACAGGCCCCTTTCCTGCCCTAAAAAACTGTCCCATGGAAGTTTTGTAGTCTGTTACTATGAAGACAGTCTGACACTTTGATGACAGTTTGCTGGTTTATTTGTAACGATAACTCATATCTATCTAGCAAGGCAGAGAGAGCAATGTTTCCCAGAAAGATATTCTGGGTCAGGGATAGTCTTCTACTGGACTTATATCTGTTAGTTAAAGCACACTAAGCAACAATGACTCCGAATCTGAAGAGATCTTAGGAGGCAAATTTCATATCTCATATTGTAAATATGTATATTGAGGCTTGACCTAAAGACTATATACATATATGCTGGAATGAAAGGTGTGTGACACCATGACCTGGCTCACACATTTTAAACTAAAAGGAATACAGGCTGGAATTTGATATGAGTGGCCCTGGGCATTCCAGGGACCTCATTCCAAGCTCTTGTTTGCCTCTGCTATTCATATGTTTTAAATGTGCTTTGATTGAAAACTATCTGCTTGCTAAAGGCACTACACAGTCTCATAGGCACAGGGGCTCCTATAGCGCGCTAGAGGTGGTGTCTGATCAGGCCTGTGCTCTGGAGGTGCAGACGGCAGCCTTTCACTGTGTGCTCATGTGGTTTTCCTTGCTGCATGCATGGGAGAGAGACAAGTAGCCAGAGTCCTGGCTCTGTAGTACCTCCTCTCATAAAGGGACCGTTTTGTGGCATTATTCTCACTTAATCTCACTTCCTTGGAGACTTTACCAGGGTGGTTTGGTTTTTGCTGCTGTTGGTTGGTTGGTTGGTTGGTTTGGTTTAAGTTGGAAGGAGATAACTGAGCCCATACTAAACATTTTGGTTAAAGAAGAGACTTTTCATAGACTCAGAACTCTATGGCCTGATCAGAATCCATTGAGATCAAGAAGACAGAAAACTTGGGCAGAGTGTTGTCTGTTCCCATGGTCACCGAACAAGGGGGCAATAGAGACTCTGGTCATGCATGCCACAAGAGGGCACATATGGAGCCTTTCTCCTAACTGGACTGCTCTTGAAAGGAAAATTGAGAAATCATAGTGGCATCTAAGTTTTCTGGTTCAACTTCAGAATTTTTTAAATCCAGAATGCAGCTGAAAGTGGATATGCATTTGAATTTCATTAAAATGCAGAGTTGAACTGTGTTGACTGTAAGTTGGAGTACATACTTATGTCATATGGAGTGAGAGAAATGGTTTAGTTCTGTGGTAAGGACTTAGAGAACATGAATGAAACTCCAGCGAACATGAATTATAACCCCCAAGATTGCTATGTCTAGTTGCATTTGTGTGGGTGCAATTGTTCAGTAATTTCTACTTTGACTTCTGAGTCATGTGCAAGCCCAGCTTACGCCCTGGGATTTCTTTGCTTCACTCTCTATCCACATCCTAGGCCAAGCATCCTCCCTGGGTCCTCGAGTGTGGCCCAGGGTCATCTTGCCTGCACAGCACCTGGCTCAGAACATAATCCAGAAAAGGGTGCTGTGGGAAGGCTGCTCCCATTCTCCTCTGCCTCACTTGGTCCTGAAAAATGACCAAACGGGACTCTGGTTTTTGTTTTGTTGTTGTTTGTTTTATTTTGTTTTGTTTTTTCAAGACAGAGTTTCTCTGTGTTGCTCTGGCTATCCTGGAACTCCCTCTGTAGACCAGGCTGGCCTCGAACTCACAGAGCTCCATCTACCTCTGCCTCTTAAGTGTTGGAATTAAAGGCTTGCACCACCATGCCCAGCTAAGGGACTCTGTTTTCTGCAAGCTTCTTCTGGGTTGTGTATATGTGACCTAATTTTCTGCATCTGGAGAACCAGGAGGCAGACCCAAGTCTACAAGTTATTCTCATGACCATCCCCTCATTGCCAGAAACTGGCCTATTCAGGTTCTTGGCTTCATAGGATGTGCTTTCTGTCTCTCACAGTGCCTGCGCCATTAGACTTCCAGTATGGCCTCCATCACCCTGTCAATCTGCTTTACTTTCCTCTAGGACAGCAGGTCTCACACAGGACTATGCACCTATTATATCTTGATTCTGAATCGCTGACTCTATGGAAGGTATAGGTGTACATCCAAAGGTGACTGGGGGCCCCTTCATCAGTGTCACAAACCCAGAGGCACCTGAGCTCTGCAGGGAACATATGAGCCGGAACAGGACCATATGTGTTCTGGGCAAAGGGCAGAGTCACACTGAGCTCTGCAAACTGTCACTGTGGAGAGGAAGACAGAGCTGTGGGTCCACATCTCCTGACATCTGGATGGTTAAATAATTGCTTTAATTTTTTAAATATTGGCAATGAGTTCCAAACCATTTGAAAGCCATCTTTAATCCAAATCTCATATAACCAAGGGCTCATTTTGAATGCTGGTGCTGGTGGCTGACTCAGGGAGTCCATAACCTGCGTGTTCTGCTTCAATCTGTATGGTCAACTCATCATTGCTGTCATCTTATCTCACCATAGGGGACATGGAACAAGGGGCAGAATAAGTCACTGATGCCATTACAACTTAGTAAGTGCTATTTGAAAATTGGCAAACTCAGATGAGTTCCCAAAAACCATTCCTAGGGCTTTGTCTCCTTTTATTGTAAGACTTGGTTCATATAGCACACAGCCAAGATCCAAATCAGTAGCTCATTTCAGTAAAAATTTTATGTGCTTGGTGAGCATATGTTAGCTTGTTCAACCTTACAGCATCCTCGTTGATTCATAATGGCATCTTTACTCTGGGGTTCCGATAACTGAGGTTGGAGGGAGTTACTTTTCCAGGGCCTCTTAGTCTATGTGTAGAGGGCTGTGACCAGTACTCCTTCCATAGAACCCTGTATCTGGGTCCAGCCTAATGTTGGACTTGGGACTGTTGGGAAGTGTGCTAGGGCATCTTCCTGGCCAGGGGCTCAGTCCAGACTTGCAGAGGTAGGCTTGATTGTGATCAGCCCCTTGAAGAATCTCACTGGGTTCAGTTCTGCTTGCTCTTCTGTGGAGATAGACACTGCCAGATTCCTCTATAGACCATCTCGCTGTGCAAGGCATAGTTGATGGCGTTGATTGTGGGCATGGTTTTGGCAATGAGGGCGGGTACCTGTTGTGTTGGAAAAGCCCATGAAAGATGCTTTGAAGCCTCTACTTCTCTCCCAGTCCCACTTCATAACTCATCCCCCTTACAACTGCCAATCATTTGTCCTCAGCTTGATTTTTCAGCCTCTGAGCCTTTTCTGGTGGATGTCTATAGTACAGAGAATGTTGCAGAACTCCCTACCACATCCTACCCAAGGCCAACACACCTGTTCCCAACCTGAATGTCAATCACAGCTCCTAGCCCTAGAGCACATGCTCACTATAGCTTTCTCTGTCATCTCAGTATGGTCCAAGAGGTGGAGGTGTATGGAACAAAAACATTTTCCACACTTTGTGAATATTTAAAGGAAGAAAGAGGGAGGAGAAAGAAAGAGAGAACAAGTGAGTGAGTTAGCAGAAAGTCAGAAGGCATAATACAGCAAGACAGACAGATGTGAAGATGGGCTTTGGAAGGGTCTGTACCATCTGTAGTTTGGGAGAGATGAAGGTCACATCTGCGATGGCTGCATATAGGTACAGGAGGGCGTAGGGGCCCCAGCCCAGCAGCAGCATCCTGCCTGGCAGAGTGGTGTTCACCTAGGAAGAAAACATCAGAAGAAACATCTGGTCACTCCAGGTGGCCATAGCCATGCAGAAGCAGGGGTGCTAGCACAGACTGGGCTCTAGGAAGAGGTGGAACCAGCAGAAGATCTCAGCATCATGTGAGCTCTTTGCTCTTTGAAAGGCTGTGTTGCCTTAAGCCTGTTATTTAAACTTACCCGACTTCAGTTGCTTTGTCTATAAAATGGTAAGGTAAAGCTGGGTTGCCTGGAGGTAGGGCCTGGGGGGGTGGATAATGAGCTTCCTTCCAGGTCTTTTTTCTTTAGGAGGAATCTTTGACGTAGGGTACCCAGGGCTGAGCTCTCCTCAGGCCTAGAATGAACTCACTATCAGTAGCCTCAGTCACTTCATGAGATCATCATGTCTAGGCTCAAAATTTTTCACAATATCAGTATAACCATGGAGTGGAACTGGAAAACATACTGAGTGAGACCCAGACCTAGAAAGACAAGCATCACACATGTGATTCACTGATATGTGGATCTTAGCATCAAATCTTTATATTTTATATTTATGTGTTGAATTTGGAGTACCTATAGAATATAGGAAACTGGAAAAGGACATTGATGAGGTAAGGAGGAAGATCTAAGAGAGAGGGTATAATAGTGCATCGATGATATGAATAAAAGGGGAGAAAAATGGGGAGGGAGAAAGGTGGGGAGAGGTTTGTGAGTATAGCTGGGGGGGTGGGGGTGAGGTAGCTAACACTAAAGATGTTTGAACAAGCCAAATGGAAATCTACTGTTTTTAAACTTCATTCAGATAAGAGACTTTAATCAACATAGGGCTATGCTCCTCCCAGAGGCCATAGCTTGCTAAATGAAAAACACAGTTCCAGGTATGAGATATCCCCTTGAGTTGGTCATAGGAATTCTGGAGATTCCCCAAACAATACAAGCTATTGCCATTGTTCTTAGTTGCCCACAAGAACTTGATAGCAGTACTCTATTGATGAAGATGCCATACATGTTGGTCATAGCACACAGGGATATCACTGCTGATGCTATGACACTGCTCCATGATGACTAATTTTCATAGTACTGGAAGGTGCTATGCAGGCAGGTGGGGACAAAAGTCATTAACAGTCTTACCCAGCTGTGAACCTTGTGAATTACAATAATGACTGGCATGGTAAGATATGTCCATGGGTGTAATAATGGCACAAAAGTTACAGGGGTAACCAATCACTTTCTGATAGGATTTAAGGCCCATTGTACAGGAAGAAAAACATGCATCGTACTGTAAATCCAGCCAAAAACCCATTGTTGAGGAGCTCGTAGGCCCCAGGGGTGAAACTACAACTATTATTCTGGAAGATGGGGTACAAATTGTTAAAGTTCAGGCTCATGGAGTGGGAGTGTCCATGAGCTCCACCTCTAAGAAGCTATGAGCAGTTGAGGGCTTTGAAGGGTGTGGACTTGTGTTAGCTGACTGCTGTGGGATGGTCTGTCTGTCAAATAAAACACTGATTGGCCAGTGGCCAGGCAGGAAGTAGGTGGGACAAGGAGAGAGGAGAATTCTGGGAAGTGGAAGGCTGAGGCAGAGAGACACTGCCAGATGCCACCATGACCAGCAGCATGTGAAGACACTGGTAAGCCACCAGCCATGTGGCAAGGTATAGATTTATGGAAATGGATTAATTTAAGCTATAAGAACAGTTAGCAAGAAGCCTGCCACGGCCATACAGTGTGTAAGCAATATAAGTCTCTGTGTTTACTTGGTTGGGTCTGAGCGGCTGTGGGACTGGCGGGTGACAAAGATTTGTCCTGACTGTGGGCAAGGCCGGAAAACTCTAGCTACAGCTGACCGTTCTCCAGTAGATGGTATTGTGTGTGTGAATATATGGGTAGCACACATTGGGGCTGGTGAATTAAGTTATTAAAAAAGAGGACATAAAGCTGGGGATTCAAGAAGTAGGGGTGGACCTGAAAGGAGTTATGGGGAGGAGTAGGGGTTGAATATGATTGTGATACCTCAGTAAAACCCCCCACTCTATCCCCTACAGACAAAGAGAAGCTTAAACCAGGGTTCCTAAGTGTAGATAAGAACTTAGACCCCTTTTCCCCAGGTGGCTGTATCTGCTACAGGGACTTTAGAAAACACAGTCAGGATATTCGACCAAAAGACTAAAAAGGGAGGCGGGTTAAAATAAATTATATGGTCTGTGCCTGAACTAGCTTCACAAAGAAAGGGGAGCACTCCTTCCAACCTCCCTGCTGTGAGTGAGAGATTTGGAAGAGCCTCCCTGGAGGCTTGTAAACTTAGAAAACACCTTACTTTTGCATTCTGTACCTAAAGTCTCTAGTGGTGGCTTTGGGGACGTGATCTAGGCACAACAAGACACTCACTCTATTATCTCAAAAAGGGGGTCTTAGACAAAGATATCTCAATATAGACAGACCCAGGCCAGTTTCAAGTCCCCAGAAATGATGGCGCCAGCCCCAGGAACAAAAGAACAGAGTCAGGATGTCTGATGGTAACCAATTAACCACGAGATGCCCCTCTCTGGAGATAACATGACCAGACCCTGGAGAGGAGTTGTAAAACTCCTGACAGGGCAAACAGACAAGCTAGAATAAGATAAAGTCCAGGCCCGGGAAAAACTGGACCAATCAAGGATGGACCCGTACTAACCCCCTCCCCTCTAAGAAATTTTATGGGTTTTGCCTATAAAAACTAACTTCCCCAAGAAAGAGTAACTCTTCTCTGCCTCACTTGAGATGGCTTGAGTTGAGTTCCCTGTCATGACTTGTAACAGATATATCTTGCTTTCTGGTATGCTCGTCCTTGGTGGTCTCTCTGGGGGTTACGATCTGGGCACAACAATGATAAAACTACATTGTATGAAATACTCAAAGAATTAATAAAAAATATTTTTCTAATATTGAGGTGATCAATGTGGAAGAGAACCTAGGAGGTGATGCTCTAGCCTCCAAAATAGGATACATGTAGCTGGAAGTTTTCCTGTGTCCCGCCTGGTCCACAGCCGCTCAGACCCAAGTAAATACACACAGGCTTATATTAATTAAAAGTGCTTGGCCATTAGCTCAGGCTGACTACTGATTAGCTCTTACCCTTAAACTCAGCCCATTTCTGTTCATCTATATGTCACCATGTGTTCCATGGCTTTACCTGTGTGCCATTACATGCTGCTCCCTGAACGGCGGACTGGTGTCTCCTGACTCAGCCCTCCTCTTCCCAGAATTCTCCTTGTCTACTTATCCCACCTATACTTTCTGCCTGGCTACTGGCCAATCAGTGTTTTATTAAACCAGTATACAAAAGCATCATTCCACAGCAGATACAAGATTATTGTCCCAGTGCAGCCCTCAACCTTTTAGCTAGATTCACAGATGAAAGTAACTTATAACGTTGTTTTCTAATTCATAGTAATAAATTTAAGTGGCAGATTGTCTCAATAAAAAGAATATTTTTATGCGCTGAAATTTGTTGAAGAGTTCCAGGTCTGGGTTTTGATCCATCTCTGCTATTACTAAATGTGTGGCATTTGGTGAGTCTGTGCCTCAGCCCAGTCTGTGACATGGGAGTCATAAAACTTTCATTCATCAGAAAAGATTCACAAAGATAAAGTGAAAATACATATAACGTCTATAATATCAATATTTGCTTTCATTAAAAACAATCTTTGTTGCTTGTTGTGACTCATCTGTTAATTTTTTGTAGGTAGCAGAGTCAAATGAAAATCTCTGGCAAGGGAATTTTAATATAGAAATTCTGAAATGGCCAGGAGGTCTTATTTCAAAGCATCATTTTTCTTGGACAAATGTGCTTGCAGGTGTGATTTTATGTGGTGGGTAATAGCCTGTGACTGTGATTAAATTAAACATCTCAAAGCAATTTAAAAAGCAGCATTTGAAGAGTTCTGCAATTTAGTGCCAAGCCTCAAATCCCTAGGGAGACTGGAGTGTAACAGCATGCATGATGTAATGTAGGAGCCTGGATCTCAGGGTTGCAAGGCCTGGGTGAATCTGTCTTGTTCTGGCCTTTGCTGCCTAGGCTCTGGAAATCTGAGCAACGGGAGGGTGTTTTCTAGCCCTAACAACATATTCCCTGTGCAAGCTGGTTTTTCTCAGTATTTTTGCAAACACAGAAAACACAGATTTCTGCTGTGTCATGCATGTTTCCAGAGTCTCTGAGAGATCAAGAGACTCCTGCTGCTTCAGGAGCTGGCTTCTTACCTGCAGATGACCACTCCTGGAGAATTTGTGTTCCATGAGCTGGTATGAAGTGAGTGTGATGAAGAGGGGTACAACAAAGTTGAAAAAGGCCATGATGAAGAGGAAACTGATGATGTTTCTATGGGTAGAGGGTAGAGAAACAGAGGTCAACTCCAGGATGCCAGCAGCCCAGGATACCAGCAGCCCAGGTCCACTGACATCTGTGCTGGACAGTGAGAGGTGTCATCCCATCTTAGACAGGCACTCAGAGTAGCTGCTCCTGTACCCAGCTGAACTCTCCTCAGTAGTCAGGAGCTGTAGGTCTTCCTGAAGTTTGCTTTTGGGAACCAGGAGCTAAGATGAAAAAAGGATTTCTTCAAGCTCAAATGCTCAGCCTTGCTGTCTTGTTTGTTAGCTGAGGATAGATGGGATTCTTCAATTTGGAAAATATGTTCACTAAATCCTGGAGGTATTCGTAGGCCAAGAGGAAAGACTATCCAAGGAAATCTCTTGCATTGCCTAAGGATTTGAAAATAACCTATGGATGACAGAGACTGGATACCATCTCTTTAAGAAATCAATAAAGGGGGCTGGAGAGATGGCTCAGAAGTTAGGAGCACTGGCTGCTCTTCCAGAGGTCCTGAGTTCAATTCCCAGCAACCACATGGTGGCTCACAACCACCTGTAATGAGATCTGGTACTCTCTTCTGACTTAACAGGCATACATGCAAGCAGAATACTGTATACATAATAAATAAATACATCTTTAAAAAAAGAAGTCAAGCCGGGCGGTGGTGGCGCATGCCTTTAATCCCAGCACTCGGGAGGCAGAGTCAGGCGGATCTCTGTGAGTTCGAGGCCAGCCTGGGCTACCAAGTGAGCTCCAGGAAAGGCGCAAAGCTATGCAGAGAAACCCTGTCTCGAAAAACCAAAACCAAAAAAAAAAAAAAGTCAATAAAAGGGGCTGGGTGTGGTGGCTCATACTTGGGAGGCCAAGGCAGAAGGCGTGCCACAGCTCACTGCCAGCCTGGGCTCTAGCGTGAATTTCAGGACATCCTGTGCTAATGTCTCAAAAAATTAACAATGGCAGAGTCATTAAAGGGACCACAGAGGACCTTGAGGAGATGGGAGGATGAACAGAAACAAGTAAAAATCACCAGGATACAGATCCTGACTTCATGAAGGGGAGGCTTCTCAAGAGATACATTCACTAGTGGGAAGTATGAAGAATCCTTGTTAGGTGATGTTCTGAGGGACATTGGGACCATCCAAGCTCACAGGTCACTTTCACCTGAGAAGCCTATTATCAGGTGTAAATACTTCAGGAGTCTGCAATGTCTGTAAAACGTGAATGCAGTGTGACTGTGCCAGAAACAAGAAGTGGAAGAGATGGGAGGCATGGTGCTAGAAGCCATGTGACCAGTCCCCAAATTGATCCCTGATGGATTTTCTAAGCTCTTTCTCCCTGGAGCCACACAGATAGTGTGGTAGTAGAAGAAAATTCCATGGTTGTAGAGACTGCATGCATTCAGCCCCATCTTATCAGGGATTGGCCCACAGTAGGTGCTGAGAGAAGATGGAGAACATGTCTCCATGCTGGGAAGTCCCTACCAATGCAAAGCCCTTACATGATTTGGATATGTTGATCTAAGGGCATGTGTGCCTCCCAAAATCAATGCATACTGAGCCAAGATAACTCCATGTGCTGAAGAGGGCCAAAGAGTAGTAGGGCTCTGTGATAGTTATGATCAACGCAGGCCAACAACCCACTGTATAATCATCCTTTGGATTTTCCCAAACACTGACATTGTTCCAGTTGGGTTTTCATCTGGAACATCCTTCTCACAGAAGCTTAAAGTCAAGATCCCTGTGGAAGGGAGCCTCAAAACTGCAACTTTCATCTCACCTGTCACGTCTAGAATAGTCCAATGTACAGCATGTCCCCAAAGGCTCATAGTCATAGTGGCCCCAGCCCATCAGGGGCAGGGATGCCCAGAAGGCAGATGATAGCCACACAAACATCACCAGGGGGATGGCCGTGTTCCATGCCAACTGTCTACCTGCATGAGATAGAGGAAAGATAGTTTGTAAAGAGATAGGTTGACTACATGGAAAAGAATAGTCTTTGTAGCTTCAGAGCATCCCCAGATCCCTAGTCCAATAGTAATAGCATGGGTATCTTTGAGCCTCAGTTTTCTCTATTTTGAGCAAGAAGCTCTCTCCCTTTGAGGACTATGATGAACAAAAGAGATCATGGGTAGTGATGGTCTCCTCAAATATCCTAAATCATCTTCAGAGAACAGAGAGGAGGAGAAAGAGTGGAAACAAGAGACAGATGTGTCTCCCAAAGCCAAGGTTAAGGAAGAGACATACACAGTAGTTCGGGTAAAGGCAGGGTACTTGCTGAGAGGCAAGGTGTCTGCTCCACAATGCTCTACAAAAGCTCGGGGCCCTAGGTCCTATCTCAGTACTACTGGCAAAAACCATTGTCCTGACGGTCTCTTAGGGTGTGGTGTAATACAGCTGTGGTCTTGCTCCTAGTCTTCTGTAGCCTCATTACCGACCTGACTTCAGCACATCTGTCCCAGCTATCCTCATCTGTCTGTGGATTACTTGTTGATCCCTTTTGATCCCATGACAGAAGACAGGGCTCAAGATAGGCTTGAACCAGCAAAGAATAACAGGCCTATAACCTCCCTCACCCCACACCTAGCCTCTCTTGACATCACCTCAGATGGACTTTGCTTGAATGTGCTTCCCTGCTAAAGATAGGTTGTGTCCTCAAATTCAGGTGCTGAAGGTCTCCATTTCCAGTGTGACGGCATTTGAAGGCAGGACTTTGGGAGGGCATTAGTCATGAAGGGGTAGTCCCTGGTGAGTTTAGTGCTCTTTTAGTATGGATTTTTCTAGGCTGCACCGTGTGCACAACTCTCATATTGGTATAGGGAGAGACATGAGAGCAATGACCTTGTGGAGAAGTAGTTTGGTGAACATCTGCATACAGGAACTGCATTAAGCAAGACTGGACGTGCTGGCACACTGATCTCAGACTTGAGAGAAATGACGTTCTATTGTTGAAGCCATCTGCCCTTTGATGTTTTGTCATAGTGGCCCAGGCCCACTAAGGCACTCTCTACTCCAACAGAGAGCATGGCCCACTGCTTGACCCACATGTGGCAAAAGCCTTTTTGCATGAAAAAGGTTTCCAAGATAAAGTGTTCACTGTCACCCAGGAATGGAGCAGATGAGCCTGGCCTTCCTCCTCTCTAGTCCCTATCTTCATGCTGCTCTGCTGCACCCTCCAAGGCAGGAAGGGATCTGATGTGAAGGCCTGGTGGGACTGGAGGTCAATTACAGAGACATCTCTCCCCCCCTCCCCCGTGTTTTGTGTGTGTGTGTGTGTGTGTGTGTGTGTGTGTGTGTGTGTGTGTGTGTTGTGATGATCCTGGGGATATTTGGAACAGGCAGTAAAGCAGTAAAGTGGCGGCCTCAGGGTCATGTTGACAGGAGAGGCTAACCTATCATCACTCGGAATAAAAAACAAGGCAGTTTTTCACTGAGAGAGGGGCTCCTGATGCCTGAATATTAGGCTGTGGTGGTCATGGACCCAACAGGAGCCTTCATGCTGAGAAAATCCACCACACAAGACTTGGACTCAGTTGAGAAGGGGAACAGCCACCTCTGGAGACATCCTGGTCATACTCAATGCCAGCCCTAACTAACTCTATTTCCTGGGCACACAGGGCTACTTGCTTACCTTCTGTAGGCCTCTGTTTTTTAGGCTACACACTGGAGGTTTTCTGTCTAGGTCAGTTAAACACAGTTCCTCAAAGTATGTTTATATGCCTCTCGCTGGTAATGATAATGCTGTGTGTTTTAACGTATATTGGTTATCATTTAGAAAAGACATTAAGAAGAATAAAAATTATGGATTTTTCTTTGTTGTTTTTAGACAATGACTTGTGTAACTCAGGTTGGCCTTTAATTCACTAAGTAGCTGAAAATGACCTTGAACTCCTGATCCTCCTGCCTCTACCCCCCAGTGTCAGTATTATAGACGTGCACCACCATGCCAGGAATTTGTTGCGTTTTTGCTAGATCCAAGGCCTGTAGATGTTAAGTAAGGACCCTACCAATTGAGCTATCTAACCAGATCCTAAACTAAGTTCTAAAGAGAAGTGGGCAGGGCATAGTAATCACACTTGTAATACCTAGTTGTTGGGAAATGGAGACTGGAGGACCAGGATTTCCAAGTCACCCTGCCTTCATATGGAGAGCAAGACCACCAGCCTGAGCTGCATGAGACTGTCAGAAAACAAAACTAAGGAAATAAAACAAAACTCATAAAACTAGAAGAAAAGTTTGACATTTTTAAAAGTAACTCACTTGTTGGGAAAAAAATAACAAGCAAGGGTTAGGGACACAGCTCATTAGTGCAGTGCTTATCTGGCACGCAGGAGCCACTAGGTTGATTCTAGCATTGCGTGAGCCAGGCATGGAAGTGCGCAGCTGTAATCTCAGTACTCATGGGGAGTGGGAAGCCAGTCTGAGTTACCAGAGACCCTGCCTCAAAACAAAACAAAACAAACAAAAAATGACAGGCAACCACAGAGCAGGTGGCACACTGATAACACAATCTCACAGTGAGCCTTGGGGAATCTAGACCTGGATTCATCTTTGTGTGGCTCTGTCATGGACCCAGGAAATGGCAAGGTGGCCGGGCACACACACACACATGTTCACCCTCCTTCTGTCCTCCAATTTTATCTGACTGCCAGGACATTTTCTATGTCCATGATCTTATCTGATTTTCAAAATGAATCTCTGAGATCTTGCAGAGAAGAAAACTAAGGCTCAAAGCCTTGAGTCACCAAGGCTGTAGCAAGGGCAGCCTCAGTCTTTCTAACATACGTCTCAAAGCAGGCTTGTCCACCCTCCCTCTCCCTCTTTTTCGGAAATGAATGGCTGCAAGTTGTGTGCATGTACCTCCTTTCCACCCACACTCTTGTTTGGAAAACACTGAACTGAAATGAATACTGACCACCCCGCCATATCTTCTATCCTCCTACAATCTGCAGTGACCCTACAGTCAGGGGGCCCAGACACATACGGGTGCAGTAGTGGTGGTAGCGGCCCCAGGCGATAGCTGCACTACCACAGATGCTGGCCAGTGCCGTTGCAAACCCCTGGAAACCATGAGCCTGGCAGCCCTCTGAACCATATGGCCAGCGCCTGTGGGAAACAATGAGCAGAGTGACCCTTCCCTCCAGCCTTCTCCCCACACCTGCCCGGGGGGAACCTGGAGAGTCCCTGGATGTTATCCCTGCTCCTGCAAGGAGGACCTTATTATCAGTGTCTTCCCATGATGCAACTGGGGCCTTGGGGTTTAGGTAAGTGGGCCAATGAACCACCATGGGCCAAAGTGTCTTTCTGCATTCAGATGGAGACCATATGTCTCCATCACAGGTGGGTAAATGGAGGCCAAGAGAAAAAAATTACTTATCCAGGGTACCACAACAGATGAAGACAAAGCCAGAGGTAAACCCCCAAATAGCTAGACTCTCATTCCCATGGCAAAGCAGAGGAAGAAGCTCTTATTCATCCTCCTTCAAAGAGGAGGAATTCTTTTTGAATCAGGCTCCAAAGACATCTTTGCAGGCCACATGCCAAGACCCTGGTTTGCACATAAGGTATTAAAGTGTGGTCTAAATCATGTTTGCTTTACCAAACACTTCTTTAGGGCCTACCAGAAAGTATTAGTTCATAATTTGTAAATAATTAAACCAGTACATCTAACAAAACATGAATTAGGTTGTAATACGTAATTGAAGAAGTATCCCAGGACTGGAAATGATGGAGCAAGGACTCAAGGCTAGACCACATGAATACAGGGCTCAGGTTCTGAATCCCTCCAGCCCACTGTCTCTGATCAGGTCTGAGCAACCCCTTCATTCTAGACATTGGCTATATCTTCATAAATAATCAGGAATTTGAGTTTAACTTGATTCAGCCTGCCTAACCTCTGACCTTGTGACAGTTTTCTATAGGTAGAAAGAAAGACTCTGGTCTGCTTGCCGGTGATGTTCCAAGCAAGTCCCCAGAGCCTGTGGAAGGGGAAGGGGCTGGTACCGGAGGAGGCTGGATACAGCTGCAACAAGGGCATTCAGGCTGATCCCACTGTCGGCCAGGGCTAGGCTCAGTACCAGCAGGTTGCTGGGAGTCCGCAGATCTGGAGTCTTGCAGAAAGAGAAGATGGTCAGGCCATTGAGGCTGAGGCCAGAGAGCGCTGGAAGGAAGGATGAGGGCTGGTATCGAGGCTGCTATCGAGGTGAGGCCCGCGTGGGTATCAGAAGCAGGGTCTGGGGCTGATGGAGTTTCAGTAACCTCACACATTCCACCTCAGCAACCCCTCAGCACAGCGTTTCAAATGCTACTCTGGTGGGATGACCCCAGGCACTAAATCCATGGTTCTCCCTGTTCACTGCCTACTGACAATCTAACAGGAAGATGTACGAGAAGACCGCACAGGCCAGTGTGGCTCATGCTGTGATAATTGGTCACTGACCAGTGCTGGACGAGTGGGGGGCCCAGGCACCCTGGAGAGCCTGTTGCATGCATCCTTTCCTTCAATCTTCTCTCCATGGCTCAGAGATGCCAGATAGCGAGCATGCACTGTAAGTGCACATGGGAAGGGGCAGAGCTAGGGACAGTCTCAAGTCTTTCAGATTTCAAAACGCCTTCTTCAAGGGCTGGGGGGCAATGTCAGGGAGGGACCTGGAGAAGAGGATCCAACTTAGAGCACAGAGTGACCAGGACTCCAGGCAGCAAGCTGCAGGAAGGGTCTCTAGCAGCAGAGGCCTGACCCTCGATTTCAGCTTGGTCACACTCTTGCTGTTCCTTGAACTTTCTTACCCTTGGCTTCTTGTTTCAAAAGAGCAAGAGAGCTCGGCAAGATACTTAAGAAGCAGAGGCAGGAGAATCACAAGTCTAATGTCAGCCTATATAACCCTATCTCAAAACTAAAAAGTAAAAAACGGACTAGGGATATAATGCAGTGGTAGAGATCTTACCTAGCTTGTAGAAGGCCCTGGGTTACATCCTTAGTTATAACTTGCTCTCACTAGAAAGGGGGTGGGGATGATGGAGAGGGAAAGCTTTTCCTTTAAAATTGTGGAGGTTAGTGCATGGGAAAGGATTCCAGAGAGAGAAGCATATGTAAAGATGTAAAGTAAAATTTCCCAGCATATTAGAGGACCAGAAAGCAGGCTAAGTTCCCAGGAGGTGGGGCCTGCTCAGTGGTGTCCAGTATCTTCAGGACGGTCCTAGTGGCTGGCACCCCCCCCCCCCATTGTCAGTCCTCAGCATGTAAAAGAATGTACAGATTCCTCTTCGGGGTCTGGTTTGAATGAAGACTGTACCTCATCAGCCTGGCTTCAGGAAGGATTCTATTTCTGTGCCCACTGGGGATCTTAGAGATTCTAGCTTGAGGCAGGTGTCTCTTGGACCTAAGTAGCTGCTGTTGGAGAAAAACCTTTGGTTGTAGGACTAAACCTGGTGGACGTAGTGGCAGACTAAGGCAGAGGTGGCAGGGGGATAATGAACTTAAGTTCTCTGGATGTCTATTTAGACCATGACTTTATACTAATGGTTCAACTTAGCCTCTGCAGACACACATTATAATGATTAGACTTTGAGGGTCAGAAAGCTGAAATGACTTGGTATCATCCCACAGAGAGCAGGTGCCTGAGCTGTCTGTCTCTGGAGACATCTGAGGGCCTGGTCTTATATGAGAGTCTTAGCAAAGTTTCTGGGGAGTGAATTAAATTTTCTCTTGGCTTGGGGGATATGAAAAGTTTAGGCCTGGCCCAGTTACCTCCTGAGCAGGTATCTTCTGCCAAGTGTCTCTCTCTTTGACTCTGCCTGGCTTTTTTCCCTGGCTCCTATGCAACATGCTACATCCTGAGGGGGCTGTGAAGAGAATAAGCCCTGGATCCAGACACAGAGGAGAGGCAGCCAAGATGATATGCCCACTCCACAGCTGTGGTCTGGCTTCTGGGAACCACTGGGCCCTTGCTCCGCCCAAGGTCTTGCTTGGCTCACCTTCCATCAGCAGCACTGTTCCCACAGCCAGCACCTCGAGTTCCCCAAAGCCAGCAGGCAGGGCTCTGGGCGCTGCCATCCTTGGACTCCCTTCTTGTTAGCTGCCCAGCTCTTTCCTGGCTCTCTGAAGCCAGGCTCCTCCTTTTTAAAGGGCCACCCCACCTGCTGGCACATGGGGATTACTACGGTAGCCTTAGAACACCTTCGGTTTTTCTCACCCTTCTAAGTCTCCCTCTTGGCTCACACAGAAGGAATCCATTCAGTAGAAAGACAGTGCAGCCTTTGTGAAGCTGGAGCGAGCCCTGCCTTGTTCATTTCAGCCCACTAGGCAGGATTAAGGTCTAGGATCCAAATGGTGTGTGACTGAAAGCTGAATTGGGAAAGGGTTGCATAACCCAGGGAGGGAAGTGGAAGAAAGGATTTGAGCTGCAGCTGTCCCTGAGAATTGGAGAGTAGCCAGCCCTTCTATGTGCACAGTTGCCAACAAGCTGTGTGTACATGTGCATGTGCGTGTGCGTGTGCGTGTGCGTGTGTGTGTGTGTGTGTGTGTGTGTGTGTGTGTGCATGCCCATTCACGGAACCAGAGGCATGTGCAGGGGGAAGGGGAAGGCTTTTGAAGTCATGTGCTGTCATAAAACAAATGTAGACTGGGACCAGACGCTGAGCTTCTGGCTTCGAATCTGCCATTACTGGCTCTATGTTCTGCACTGCAGCCATTGGGTCATTATCTTTTCAACTTGGGCATATGTGCGCCATACCCTTTCCCAGCTAAGTGCTAGGGAATGGTTGAATCCATTGTGGATTTAGACTCTGGGGCTTCACTTCCTATTTCCCATCCAGACTTTGAGCTATGCATGCATAAAATATATCAGGATGAAGGATGGTTTGCACTCTTTCAAAGTGCCTCAGTACTCACTAAGTACTTTGGCTTCTATACACAAGGTCTTAGTACAAATTGTATACTGGTTCACAGTGAAATCCACTTCAGAAAGCAATAAACTATGCCACAACTAATTTCAGATGGAGAAACCAAGTCCCAAAGGGTTATTAGCAAAATAGCTCACGTCTATTAAAGTTAGGGACTACACTAATGGATGATTATCAGAAGACTCCTAAAAATAACTCCACGAATAAACTGCCAGTTCCCCTCCATTTTAAATGAGGAAAATGGAGATAAGTTAGTTAGGAATCAGTCCAGGGCCGTGTAGTGAGTGTGGGGGTGGAAAGCAACCACTCTTGCTTTCCATCCTGCAGGCCCTGGCATTTCCCATTGGTGACCTCTGATCCCCTCTAGAAGAGCAGTTCATTCTATTCTGGTAACATCCAGGTCATAAACCTCCCCTCCTGTCAATACCTACTTAAGTCTGAATTTAATGACTCTTGGAGCCTGAAATTCCAGCTACATCCTCCAGGGCCTTCCCCACTCTTTTTCTGATTTCTAACTTGCTGGTTAACACCTGTGACTGTCTTCCCATGCCCACAAGATCACCAAAGACATCAGGAAAGAAGAGAAGGGACAAGGTTAGGAGTAAAGTACAAAGTCAACTAGATAAAGTCTGAGTGAAAGCATTCACTCCAAACAAGAGGAAAAGGCGGCCTGGGTGTGGCAGCAGGTAGAGAAGTCTTTGATTTCAGGAGGAGGGTGACAGGTACTGTCCTAGCACTGAGAAAATGCTACTGGCTGGATATGAAGAGAAGATATGAGAAGCATCATTTTTCGGGAGCTGATACTGTCTAGACAGGCTTGGCATGGAGCTAGACACTGTATGTGTATGCACTGGGTTCTGTCTTAGGGTTACTGTTGCTACAACAAAACACCATGACCAAAGCAACTTGGAGAGGAAAGAGTTTATTAGGCTTACACTTCAACAGTACTATTCATCATTGAAGGAAGTCAGGACAGGAACTCAAACAGGGCAGGAACCTGGAGAGAGGAGATGACACAGAGGCTATGGAGGGGAGCTGCTTACTGGTTTCCTTCCCACGACTTGCTCAGCCTGCTTTCTTAGAACCCAAGACCACCAGCCTAGAAATGGCCCCACCCACAATGGACAGAGCCGTCCTGGCTTAATCAATCACCAATTAAGAAAATGTCCTACAAGCACACAGTACACAATATACAGTACAGCCGGATTTTATGGAGGCATTTTCTTAATTGAGGTTCTCTCCTCACAGATGACTTCAGCTTTTGTCAAGTTGACATAAAACTATCCAGCACACTCCTCAGCATCTTCTTTGGCCAACCTCATCCGCCTAGGCTTGACTAGGCTCTTGAGCATTCCAGACTGTGGACCCTGGTGGAAAAGCCAGAGGACCAAGTGTTCTGAGACAGAAAGCAAAGCCAGTGAATGGGTGACTTACCAGGAAGTCTAATATTTACTCCTCCCCGGCATCTTGAGAAGATTTTCCAGGATGGAGTTAGAGAAGAGAAAACAAAAAAAATCTCCAAAAACCTCTGTGAGAGCCAGCTCTAGGACCCTTCCTGCATGACCCTTGAAGAGGGCTGACCTCTCTCCTCCTGCAGTGACACCCTTGCCGTCAGCATAGGTGGTAATGCCTCAAAAGGTAGCCCACTGACAGCTTTGGGTTCTGAGACTGGGTGTCCATGGGGCATTAAAGAAAGACAGATGTTTGCCCATGTTCATGAGCATATGTAGACATCTCTAATGTCTCCCTGCAATGTCAGAATCTCCTCTGTGAGCAAGTGCCTGCAAGTTCCAGGAATTTACAGTTTGTGGGAAGGTTCTGTCCCCTGGACAGTCAAGGATGGGCAAGCCTGGGCTACTTTTCAGCAGCACTCCAGGTGGAAAAGCTTTATTTTCTTTTGTAACCGATGATCCGAGGTCTGAATGCAGGTGTTGTGCCCTGAAGCACAGACTTTCTAATGCTTGCGTGGTCTTCAGAAAGCCTTGCTTCATGTTGCTCCTTTTTTCTAGAGACTATCATAGAGACAATTTTCAAAGGCCCTTCTTAGAGACCACAGTCTGTTTTTCTTTTTTTCCTTGAGCCTAGCACCTCAAGGAGACAGATGTTACCCATGGCCTGGTCGAAATAGAGTTGTTTGCAAATAGACAGCCCATTCAGCTAGTCGCTAGTCACTTGCCCCTGGGCAGCTGCCCATCTGCTTTATCTTGCTGTGCCCCAGCTTCTTGTGGCCTGAGGTTGTTTCTATAGAGGGATTCTCTCCCTCCCCTCAAGACTGGGTGATTCAGGAAGCAATAAGCTGCTGAGTGCTGGGGCTGGGGCTCCCTCCCTAATCCCCAGCCTGTGTTTATCCCATGGCCTTGGGGTGGGGGTTGGAGAGTGATGAGCAAGTGGGTAGCTGCTGGACCTACTGGACAAGCAGGACGGAGCATTCCCGGGACAGGCCCCCTGCCTGGGCCCAAGAGGAGCCAGAAGCCATGTGGGTGGCTGTGGGCATGCTCTGGCTCCTTGCCCTTGGGGGACCTCACCAGGCCTGGAGCTTCTGCCCCTCTCAATGCAGCTGCAGCCTGCACATCCTGAGTGATGGCAGCAAGGCCAGGTAAGACACCACCAGGTGTGGGATGGGTCATCAGGCCTTCATAGGTTCACCAGCTCGGCAGAGTGGGGAGGGGTTGGATGCCCGGCAGCTGTCCACTTACAAAACACCTGCTCCCACCTGAGGCCATCTGATACACATAGACACGTCGGTTTGGGGGACCCTAGAAACCCAAGGTCTTGTGAAAACAGTCAGTGCTGTGTCATCTTCAGTAAGCAGGGGGTTTACTCTGCCCAGAAGTGTGCGGGCCCTACATGGGCCAGGTTCTGGAAGTTCTTCCTGAGCCTTCCTTCATGTTTCTGGTAGGGAGAAACCCTCTTTAAACATGTAGAAGTTTCTTCCTTATCTTATTCTTTCCCTCCGTTTGCTTCCTTCCATTTTTATCTTCTTCTCGGTGTCCCCCAGCTCCTTCTTTCTAGGTATCCCTCATTCTCATGCCTGACCTCCACAAAATACCCAGTCTCATTCAGGTGCCTTTTGTCCCCTAACCCATGGTGGGACACATGCCTCCTGATGTACTTCCCCCCTACTTGGATGTCTATAAGACCAGCAGTGCCCACTCCCTTGCAGGAAGCTCCCTTCATCCTCAGCCCACTTCTTGATTTCTGCTACACTTTCTTCTCCTCTTCATGGATCTTTGAAGCCAAAGCCGCTGTGATTGGTGGACCCTAGCTTTTCTCATGGAGCTCGATTTCTTCCTTTTGTCAGGCAGCTTTAAGTCATCTTTTCTCAATGTTCTTGGCTTATTCCGGAGGGAACTTATTTTTTGATGTCTCAAGGATTTCAGTCCCTCACTCAGGGCTTTTCCTACCTGCTTTCCAACCTTGTTGAATCCATCATCTTTTCTTTTTTGTTTTACATGAATACTGGAGAAACACTGATGGTTTATGATGGTGGAAATGAACTTATTGGAACTACCTTTTTCACATGATGCTGGCAATGTTGAATTGATCGGGGATGATGGAGGCTGGGAATGGAGAGGGACCTCCAGAAAAGATGACATGTATGTTCTGGAGAAAAGAAAGCATTCCATTGTTGATGTGTTTGATGATTTCATTAATAAGGAGAGTAAATTTCCTTTCACTAAGTGAGACAGGCTGATGCTTAATGATACTTAATCAGCCTGGAAAATGGCTGATGACTCGGGACAGGGTGGTGAGGGTGCTTTTTGTCACCCTGGTCACAAAGGTGACATCATCCAAAGAGAGCAAATGCCTCAAAGTCACATTCCATTGGTGATGGAACCAGTACCAGAATCCATGGATCTAATTTTTAGACACTGGGAATTCTGCCGTGTATGGGGAGCAGGAGATTCAGCCTTCTACATAGAGTGTCCTACAAGGTCAGTGAGGCCATGAAAGGCTGCAGGGAAGCCCAAGTCTCTAGCCACCACAGGCATAGACTGATATCAAGGCACCTTTTGTGTGTTAAATACCTTCCTCAGACCCAGCTCTAACCTTGTAGAGTAGCATCCTAGCACCCTTCCTGCTTCATGTTCAAATCCTGAACACAGTATGTATGCCTCTGGGAATAAGAGTTGGAGCTGTGTGTGTCGGGGA